GCCATGAGAGTCTCCCAGGAGGAGTTTGCAGCGGCTGTGGATAGGCTCCGAGCGAAGAACACCGCCCCGGGGCCTGATGGGATACCCGGCCGCGTTTGCCCTTGTTCGACAACGATTTCCCGACGAGTGGAAGATGGGTAGAGTGGTCCTCTTACGGAAGGAGGGGCACCCCGCAGGTTCCCTTGCACCCTCGGCATTCCGTCCCATAGTATTGCTGGGGGAGGTTGGCAAGCTGTTTGAAAGAATAATAGCAGGTCGCCTCACCCAACACTTGTCCCAAGTAGGTCCCGGCCTCAGCCCGAGGCAGTTCGGATTTCGTGCGGGTCTGAGCACCATTGATGCCGTCGCTCGTGTTCGGGTTCTCTCGGATGAGAATTTGGGGTGCTGTTGGCAGATGACATCAAGAACGCCTTCAACACCCTGCCATTCGCGTGCATTAGGGAGGCACTAAAATATCATCGAGTGCCTCTCTACTTGCGGGACGTAATCGGGACCTACCTAGAGCACAGAATAGTGCACTGCGTGGGACAGAATGGGGCGGTAGCGTCGAGGGAGTCAGCGTGGTGTCCCACAGGGGTCGGTGCTGGGACCGATCCTGTGGGACATGTATGACTGGAACTTAACTTTCCGGCAGCGATGTTGTCTGCTATGCAGACGACACGCTTGTTGTTGCCAAGGGGAGCACTTACAATAATTGCCCGTCTTGCCACGGCAAGCGTGGCACTCGTCGTCGGTCGTGCGCGTCGCCTTGGGCTCCATGTGGCGCTGGAGAAGTCGGAGGTACTTTGCTTTCACAGACCCCGACGAGCGCCACCAGAGGGAGCCCACATAATGGTCAGTGGCCAGAGATTGGTCGTCAAGCCCCATATGAGGTACTTGGGGCTTGACTTAGACAGTCGCTGGAACTTCCGTAGGCACTTCCAGATATGCTAAGCCGGCTGCTGTAAAGCACACGCCGCCTTTACCTTGGGGTGGTGAGGTCCATGGCCTTATAATGGGGCGATATGGAACAGGGCCCTGAGAGGCAAAATGTGGCCTGTTTAAACAGGCCACATAATGGCGATCCGCATTATACGCGGATACCGCACTATCTCCACGGAGCAGACGCCGCCCTGGGAGTGGAGGCCAATGCCTGTGCGTCGGTCTACGAGTGGCGTGCGGAGCGGAGGCGTAGGGTGCCGAGCCTTCCAGCCTGGAAGTTGCGCTCGTTCGATTGCAGCGGGAGTGGGAACAGCGGCTGGTCCCATCGGCCGGCCGGAGGACCGTCGAGGCTATCCGTCCACTTAAGAAGTGGATGGATAGGCGGCGCCGCTGACCTTCAGGATGACACAGATATGGGCATGGGTGCTTTGGGCGATATCTGTGTCATATCGCGCGCAGGGAGCCGACGGAGGAGTGCCATGCCTGTGGAGCGGACCAGGACACGGCGGAGCATACGCTGGAATGCCCAGCGTATGCCGATGATGACTTGTTTGTGCGATCTCTCGTGCCCGCCGTAGTCCGGCGGATGGTGAGCAGTGAGAGATATTTCTGCGATGCCGTCATTAGTATCGCACCGTCAATCCGCCGCAGACGAGTCAGACGCTATGCCCAGTTTGTCCCCACTGGGGCCGGGGTGATACCTGTGGGAAGGTATTGTCCCAATGGTCCTGGGGGATGTGTTATATACCGGCGCATCCCCCAGGGTGAGCACGCCATTCACCCTATCTTCGCTCTTACCATCAAGGGGCGGGTCGTAATGAACCCATGTCTCCGACATATTTATATGGGTACACCCCCACCTTACGGGGGACTCCCACAGTAAACACCTCCCACAAGGTGTATGGGTCTGCATAAAGCATTTTCCAGACGTTAAAAAAAAAAAAAAGGGTTATTTTCCTATACATGACTATCCAACTAACGTAGCTGTTTTTGCTCTATGCGACTTCATATAATGGACCTCTTAATCACCTCTTAATCACCAATTCAGTCATACATATAGCAATTTTTAAATTACACTAATACATACTCGACTATGAATTTTCGTTGTTATAATTCAATTTCCTCATAAAGACTTATACAAAAAGAGAGACATTAATATTTAAAATCACACATCTTGTTACCATTACTTAATTATTGTCTCCTTAGAAATTTATTACGAAAAGAAATGTACAGATTTTTAATTTACCATTTAAATAACCTGTATATTGTTATATTTTTAGATAAACCTGAAAAACCCTTTCTTAGGTCAAATAATTATAAATGAAATCTCAACAATATTATAATTAACCTTAACCATGATAATAAGTGTATCCGAATCATAATAATAAGTGTAATTATTGATTATAGACTATAGATACGTTGTATGGTAATCGTAATTCTGACACGAAGATTACCGACTGGTTCCTATGCGGATTTCAATCGAGATGAATAAATAATTAACTTTATTAAATTAGTTATTATAGCCACAGGGGTCTACTCTAGATAAGGAAGTTGTAATCAAATTAGGTACTTTGTATCCAAACTATAATTTTAATAAGTTGTTTTGCTTAACTAAGGTTTTGGATTGGATTTCCAGTAAACTAATTCAGGAAACAAAACTTTCAGATTTCTGATACAGCACATAATCACCATAAAAATGTATGTAGGTACATACGTACTTATGTATGTATACTTTAAAAACATACACCTATTGCTGGATCTTGAATTATCAAATATTCTATCAAAGACCCTTTATAGAATACAGGTACCCTAATAAGAATATTTTTTTCTAAATCACTACGTAATTATTATATTGTACGGTTATTATTACGTAGAGAGCACAGGGCAAACAAAACCACATGAAAGATATATCGTACCAATTTTAGAACGAAAGTTGAAAGACCGTCTCGAGGCCTCGTACTTACAGAATGGTATTGTTTTATAAATCCCGTCAAACCATTGCCGTTTTACGGTTATTGGTTTCATTAGATTTACGCCTCATTTTGAGTACAGCTTGAAATACACTTGACTTTAACTCTAATATTGTATGCGAATAATTGTTGACTAGGTACGGTTTATTTATATGTACGTCAAAATAGACACTTATGTTCCTGGAAACAAAATTCCGCGACTTCAATTACTATTATCTCTTATTTGATTTTATAAAAAACCTTAATAAAAATTAAATAAAAAAAAAATTATAATATTATGTAACATTAACAACTTTATTTAACACTAGAATAACTATAATACACGTTATGATTTATTACATTTCATTTTTTAACTGGAAATAATTCAAAATATATTATGCAAGATATAAGATTTTGTAAAAATCAGGTAATTTGTAGTCATGACAAAATTAATATGAAACCAACACGGCTATATACCTAATAATTACAAAAAGAATGATCAAATACGGCCCAGAATTAGCAGATATCACATAATATTTACACAAAAAATGCACTCGAATTGAATTTGAGTTAAGTTACTCCTTTTTTAGTTATAAAGTTAGGTTAACATTTTTAATCAACTTACGACATACCTTTACAATTTACTACCCTTTTCAACTGTCAACTTAATTATTTATGGTATTTCAGTTTGAATGTAACTAAGTTAGATTTGATTTGCATTCATTTGGGCACCAAACAAAAAATAACTTTTTAAATTATATTATATATATCTGACTTCAAAAATAAGATTATTAATTCGTTTGATGACTTGTTTTTGTTAATATGTTACCACCGTATCCTTGTCAATAGAGAACTAACTGTTTATTATTCGTGAGGGCTTAACTTTTTCGAAATTGAATTTTTTTATAAAATATTTTTATTAGGTAAATTCAATCAAATGTTACAGACATTTGTAAAACAAATTCAGTTAATGTAAAACTTCACAAAAGTATGAATTAAAATTTAATCATTGCCATGAGTTCATTTGTAAATCAAATAAGAATACGTGAGTAAATCTTTTAACAATAGGTACTGTTTAATTTTACTTCTACTTTTTTGAAGACAATAAGGAAAAATTTTAAATAAGGACTCTTTTAAGATTTCACATATAGAGAAATAAATCAGTGTACCAACGGTAATCTCGGCACACAATCAACGCCAATGGGTTTGAATTAAGAAAGGATTTCCAAAATGTTTCATGGGAACAGCCGATAACGGATTCCTGGGGATGAAACAATAGCGGTAAACGCCTAGTGTAGGATATATAAATGTAATGAAACTAGACTGACCACAATGATTAATTAGAATATATAAAAATAGTGTTTATAAAATGTGCTGGTTCTTGTTATATATTTTTATTTACTAATTATATTATTTGTAAGTAAAAATGCCGTCTGTTGACTTTTTGTATTATATGATTTTTTGTTCTATTTCAATTATTTATCAATTTTCTTTTTTATAAAAAACTACAATTGTCATTGTATGTAAAAAGGTTAATTTTGAACAAATAGAATAGAACCTACCTCAAGTTTTAGTAAAAAACATATATACGAGTATATATATATTATATATTATCATTCTCATATTCACCTATTGGGCTAGAAATATGGAAAGGGTTAGACGACGACAAATAGATTGAATGCTGATAATGAAAAAAAAAAATAAACAAATAAAACAAACAATTAATTACGGAGAGAAACTATTTTTCTACAAAATGCAAAAAGATATTCAATTCAAATGGTGATGTATCGAGACAGGCAGAATCGAGTAGTGACTCGAATATCTAATAGATAATCACATACCTGTGTATTCAAAATATAGAATTCGGATATACATTATTCGGATATTGGTTTTGACAATTTATACGATTGCTTGTCACGTACACCTAAATTGTAAAAGTTATGAGATGTCTATTAAAACCTGAGTATTAATATTTACATTAATTACTAAATAATTGTATTAAATTTATGCTTATTTACCATAAGGTTGAGTCGAATGAAGTATTCAATTATTTTACTGTCAAAGTCTCAAGTTAAGACTTCATTTTTTTTAACGAGTGTCTAATTATGGTAAAAAAAAAAATACACTTACCAGTATGTATTAGGTTTCTTATGCTATCCTGGACCTCTTTCTCTACGTCGCTCCCGGGATACTCTACTCGTAGCATATTATCTATTACTATGTGCTTCGCACTACACCACGCCATCGATGATTGGAAGAGTAATAGTTTAAATGCAAAACACCACAAATCCATCGTTCTATGTACACTATAACCACTAGAATACACCAAGAATCTACGCTACACGGATATCTGGCTATATGTGTCGTTACTCCTGCCTTTTGAAACTCCACTCCACTTGTCTAAATATCTATCTAATAGCGATTACATTTTATGTTTGTAATTAGATGAGTATATTATTCGTCTTCTGTGTTGTTGAACTGACATCATAATCTGAAAATAAAGAAAAAAAAATAATAAAAAATATATTCATACCTATCGTTACTTAATAATTATTCTTATAAAACGATACTTTGTTTCAAATTAAATTCATGGAATTATTACATGCAGAGTGCGTAGCGATGGCCCCGTGTTTTATAACAACATTGACACCAAAAACTTGACATATCAATAGCTGAATCTAGTTTCTGTATAAGACACAACTTTCTTCGAGGAATCGCGATAAAACAAGAATGATTGACAGACGCCTGTATACACTATTTATGGCATAAACAGTCATCCTTATAGAAATGCACATATTTATCGACAAGGATTTCTACTTTGCTTATCGTAAACGCAAAACTAAGAAAGTTCATACCGAACGACAGTTGTTCGTGTAATCCTTGAAACAATAAAAAATAAACGTTGGAACCCTTTTTATGTTGGAATGTATTCTAGGAAAAATAAAACAATGGTGTAACAGTGATTCTCAAACTTTTTAGCGATGGACCACTTTTGATACATTTAAATATTTTACAAATCCCTAAAATTAAAAACCTAGTTATTCAGTAATTAAAGTTACATAAAAATAACAACAGTGGGACGGTAGTGGGTTGTTTAAGTTAGGTATATTAATATTTTAATTATGCTACATTGATTCATATATAATGCGACAAAATTATTGTCATTTCTCCGCAGTAACACTAAATTCTGTCACAGACCGTTCTTGCAAAAATGCATTTTTTTATATTATGTGCCAATAAATTATGATGTGCTTTGTGATATTACGGCGGAACAATGAGCTTCGCGGAGCACGCTTTGAGTATCACTGACGTAGCATATTCACGGCCACGTGCCTCAAGATAAGGGGCTGAGGGCGTGGTATGTTGGCGCCAGGGATCGCGCCAGGAACAAAGTTTTAAATCTTTAGTCAGAAGTTACTTTTACTATCTGTTCACTTCCCGTAGGACACAAAGGCCTTTGAGTGGCACCAACAGTTAGAATGTTTGTCGTTTGATTACAAAAAGAATGTACTTATTTTTGTCTACTATTTTTGTTTGGCACGTATGATATAAAAATTATAATCTAAATATAAAATCACATTATAATTAAAATCCTTTTATTTTAATAATTTGTTTGTTCATTTTATATTAGATTGACATATCAAGATATATAGAATATAATAACGAACGTACTATGATTTTTAATGTCTTTAATGTTATCTAGATAACGGAGTACGATCCACGAACAGGATCAACCTATGAGATTGATAAATTAGTAGTTATCACTATAGGTATTGTTTTAATAAAAAGTTGTTTTAAAATATTAAAATAATGCTTTTATCGTCATTTTTATAATTGTCAAACCGATTAATATATGGTAATGTTCGTTAGTATAATGTTTAGATTAGTATTTAGTATTTTTATGTTATTCATACTAATTATTATACTGATAAAACGCTCAATTACATAAGAATACATATAGAAATTATTTTTAGTACAGTGGTTATTGAGAATTAAACCATATCGTACTACAAAGGATATGTATACGGACTCTACATAAAGTCTGTGTTGTTACAGAAGCAGTTTTTTGAAAACTAGAGGCGAAGTCGTATGCAAAATTTATCTTATGCGAAAACTCTTATCATTTCATATAATGTGATAATTGCTTTCGAGATGTATCTCAATATTAATCCAGGCGATCATATTAGTTGAGTAAAATAAGACTCTTTGTTGATTGAATACACTTTATAACAAAACGTATTCTATGTGTGCTCTTTACTATTGAAGTCAATATAAAAGGCTTGATGGTGGCACGCAGTCGCTCTGGGTATCCGTCAGCGTCTCGCATATCAATTTTGATTTATTGTATTTGTTGAGACCGGCAGCTCCAAGTTCGGCCGTCCTCGGTCGAATTACTGCCCTTTTTCGATAAAAATACCATTCTACAACCCAAAATCTTTCCATATAACCTATACAGTTATAGATTTATAAAGATGCATATTATATACAGTAGGTCGACTTCTATTAATTGAAATATACCATGACAATGTCACCAAAATCGATCACGTTATTTTCAACATCTCACATACTGCACTAAAATATAAACAGTGCAATACTTTTTACATAATAGTTTTTACCAATGGATTCGTATTCGTGGATTTTGGAAGTAGGATAAACAATAAAATAAACAACTTCCAGATTGCTATCTGGTGTATATTTTATCTTATTATGCTTAATAAGATAAAATATACACCAGAATTTTAGTTCTTTAAGATTTTTTCATGATACAGGAACATATATACAGATTGTCTCAAAAGAAAGGTGACTTTTGTTTTGGTTATTGCGTGAACGCAACTATTCTGAGGGGCGCGGGGAGTATGTCATTGGGTAGCCTAGCTTCTAGGAATTTAGTCGCTATGGAGCGTTTCTCGGGAGCGGATTGTACATTGTGCGTACGCGAGTTTTACAAAAACAGTAATTCATGAAGCTAATTTCCATCTCAATGGACATGTAAACAAATGAAATTGCCGATACTGGAGTGCAACTAATCCAAAACACAAAAATCAGAAACCCCTACATTCGCCTAAAGTGACCGTATGGGCTGCAATGTCGGCGCGAGGGGTTATCGGCCCTTACTTTTTTTAAGATGAAAGGGGATGCACAATTACAGTGAACTCGGACCGTTATGTGGAGATGTTAGACAACTTCTTCGTGCCTGAACTGCAAAACTTTTCTGGTTATAACCAAAGAACATGGTTCCAGGAGGACGGAGCAACTTCACACACGTCCAACAGGTCTTTACCACGAGTTCGTGAAATTTTTCTTGGCAAATTGATATCCAGGAGAGGTCCATAAATCGGCCTCCACGAAGTCTCGATTTAAGCCCTATGGATTTTTTCCTGTGGGGTTACGTCAAATCTAAAGTTTATGTCAACAAACTGACTTCCTTGGCACAATTAAAAGGAAATATCCATCACGAAATTGCAGCCATCTCGGACAATACATACGGAGCCATCATAGAAAATTTTAGAGCTCGATTAAATGAATGCCGTGAACGCAACGGTTTACACTTGGACGATATCATTTTCAAGAAATAAATTCCCAAAAAGTACATTTTAATATGTAATAATCATTTTTTTAATAAACTCCTTGTTTTTAATTTTTTATCGATTTTTTAAATGTGAACTTTCTTTTGAGTCACCTTGTACAAGCAAACAGACAAAAATAAAAAATAAATATATAATGGTTTTCGTTTCTATGCTTTTACTAAGACATGTCATGTAAATTTTTCTTAAATATTTATTATGTATAGATATCGTCTACTTTTACAACTTTATTTATGTACGAGTAGATTCCAAAACTATTAGTTTAGGTTTGATTACAGATGTATTTTTTATAGGCTTATGGTATATATTTATTCTACTTTAAAATATAAGAATATGCAATCTTATCTCCTCTACGGCTTTACTATCTTTACAGTTAGTAAAAAAATGAGTTCATCATGTTGTACAAATTTGCTATAAATATACATATATGAAGAATCAGTATAAATTGGATCACCTACATAATCTGTAGCATTATCAAACACAAAATTATATTATTATGTCACCCAAGAAGATTATACGTATTACAACATTTTACACAAAAATTTGCTTCCGACGATTATTGAAAGAAAATGTACCGATAGTATATTTACCATTTATTTAAAGGAGTTGAATTGTAAAGACGAATAGTGCGTTTAGTTTTGTGAACTGTAGGACTTAATGTTGATATGATATAATAAACACATTTAATGAGACCAATTATTAGTTTATGCTTAAATGCATTTATTTTAAAACAATTTTATATTTGGCAGTAAGTAAAAAATAGACTGATAAATGAAATATGAGCTGATGGGGCTTTGATGACAATGTCAATCCTTAGTTATTTACATCGAAACACCTACTAAAGATTTCGCAGAAAACTGCATTACGATCGTTTCTAAACACACGACAGTGAGTCAGACCAAGTGCTTAAACGTATCTGCATGCATGCTATTTCTCCCATATAATATATCGAAAAAAAATTAAACATTTTATTTATTTGTTTATAATACACACATTTTAATGAGCTGTACAGATTTACTAGTTAATGCACTCACTAAAAATCAACACTAGAACATTATAATAATACATTGATGAAAAAAAAGTTACCGTACCGTAAACGATGTAATACCCATATTGTTTCCGATACAGCCATCTAACAAACTTTTTCTGGAAAGTTTTTATCATCTGTGTACATTTTTTATGAAATTACTATCCAATCGAAAAAAGATAAAAGATTTTGCAAAAAAAAAATGTTGTATAAAAAAATACTCAGCTGGTGATTTGTTCAAACTAAAGTTGAATTTTACCAGTTATACATATGAACTTTTTTAAACCACTGACGTGGCAAATAAGCATATAACATATAAGCATATAATATAAAAAGTTGTATTAAAAATTAAAAGAGCTTAACTTTAGATTCTAAAAATATAAAATCTTGTGACTATATTAGTGCGCGTGAGACTTGACTTCATTTTACACGTATGTTTTTTGAGAGATACTTGTTTGATGACGTCGTGTGCAATAAACTTATATTATACAAATTATGATACCTATCTATATATATAGGTATAATAAATACCTAATAGGTGTAGAATAATTATAGAATGTACATGTCTCTGTCTCTTTTTCACTCCAGAAAATCATAGCAGTCGACTAGCAAAATTCACCAGTGCATGAAAAATCTGAATATCACCCTATATCGAGCTGAAAAGCCCTGTGTGATAACAGGATAACATTATTTTCATATAAAAAGACAGACATCTAGCTGTGGGTCGAAAGTGATTTATTACGAATACGTGAATGTGCCTTAACATTTAATTTTTGTAAATAAAGGCATAAATATAGATTAATCTGTTGACGTGCAGTGACTCGTGTGCGATATACTATCAATTTTATTTGTTCTATTTTTATAAAAAGCACACCAACG